ATGTGAGAATCATTTTCAGCATGCAATAACCATTTTGTGTGTCAAGTTATTTCACTTACTCTGTTTCTACTTCACTATTTTTTGTCAAAGTGTCTATGAATACAGTGTAAATGTTGGGTTACTACAAATAATGTACTATAGGAAAAAAGTGAAATTCCCATGAGCAAAATGAAGTTTCATATGATATTTTACATTTTAAGGCTTTTCTAGGAATTGCATATGCAACATTCTGGGTAAGCGTCTCCTTTTATAAATGTTTTAAATATTATAGTAGAGTATTAAAAACTTAGCAACTTTGTCATATTTTTGTAGCCCTTTAGATACTACTTTGAGCTGCTTGTAGATAGTAGTTATGGTTTATGTTTTATATAGCTTTTAAATGTTTGGCTATGTCATAAATATGCAAAGAATAAAATTGTCAGTTCGTCTAATACTCATTCACTACATGTGACTTTCTAAATGGAAATATAAATCAGTATTGCCAAATGTTTAAAAAATATATGTATAAAATAAAGAAGAAATACCAAGTTTCTGTCTGTTAGCATTGACTTCAGGTTTGGTGTTTGATCTTGAAGTGTGTTTTTTGTTTAGTTGGTTTTTAAATCAGTAGTCTGTCTTTATTAGCTTTTCAGTATTTTAAGAACTGAACCTTAAGATGTGTACAGCTCAGCCTTTCGGAAGAGTCAGAGTCCCAGGCTATCTGAAACCAGAAGGATTCTATCCTTTGAGTAGTTGTGTACATATGAGAACTTTGGTGCTTAAATATTTAATATACCTTGTGTTTTGTAAGTCAATGAATGCAGTATGTCAAGGCAATGATCAAAAATAAATTCAGCTCGAAGTAATTTCTTACTGAGCCACTTTATTTTAACCTCTGATTCTGTTACTCCTGCCCCAACAGGCATTCCTTCTCATATTCATTGCCTTGCTCCAAAGTTTGAATTTAATAAAAATGTATATCACAAGGACTTCGTTTGACTCCTTTATTTCTCTCTATTAAGGAGCTTTCAGTTATTTGTCTCACTTAATTGAATTCTTCCCCATGTCAGTTGCTCTGTAGCTGTTTGCACAGAAACATCAAAGGAACTTTTCTTTTTTTTTTTTTTTTTTTTTCCCCACAGTTTTAGGGTAGGGAATAATAAGTCTTAGGAGTGCAGTCCTTGCTCTTTACCTTTTCAGTGCTTCCATTACTATCTGCTTCCTTCCATGTTTTTCTTACTTCAACCCATCTGGTTCCATGTCTGATGGGGAAACACATAATTTTGTAGCCCCATACTTTAGCTTGTGCAGGAGAACAATATATGCAGGGTCCTTGTACTCTGCAAGCTGGTAACTAGGTGGTAATTCTTTGCAATCCTGCTAAGGTTCAGCGTTAATCACATGGATATTGTCATACAGAAATAAAGTGCTTTAAAGAACTGACTTATTTTGAAGCAGGAGAAAGATGCATTCAGAACAACAGGGACATGAAATGGAATTAGGCAGGGAGGAAGAGAAACAGAGGGGGAAGCATGCAAGCAAACAAAGCCCCAGAAACCTGGTTGGAGATTTATTTTTACTTTTTTGGATGGTTAGCTTTCCATGACTACCTCATGGAAAGTTTGGTCAGCTTCTGTGTGCTGGAAGCCACTTTTGGTGTTGACATCATGGAGAGAGCTACTGAATCTAGACATATCTGTGCAAACCGGAAACAAATAGGTAAGTTAATGAGAAAGCTTGCTTACTGCTGTGACTCTGAAGCTGTAGTTGTTTGATGGAGAATTAATTGCTGTCTTCCCAAGGAAAATGATAGCTGAATTCTACTTTTCTTAGACCAAGAACTTTTTTTCAGTATATTAGGTTATCTTGCAACACAAACAAGATCTTCCAAAACCTGTCAGCTCTTACTTTTCTGTGTTTACTAACTGCTATGTTTGCTTTTTTTAAAAAAAAGAAAAAAAAAACACTATGGTAAAGTGGCATTCTGCTTTTGAAGGCCTTCTACTGTGTTTATTTATTTATTTTCTCTCTCCCTTTTCATCTTTTCAGAGTACATACATATGCTAGTTTGCTCATTCTTTTATTTACCTGGAACTTTCTTTGAATTTTGGATCATTTTAAAATCAGCTCTGAATGATCATTTCTCTCCCTGGTCACCAATTCTACAGTGCTGTGCTGCAAGCAACTTTGTCACCTTGCTGGGTGTGGGTTTTTCTTTGTTTTTCAGTCCAGACAGTTTCCTTTGGTAAATACCAGCATATTTGTTCACCTTCTTTGAGAACAAGTAAATACGGGTATTTACCATATACTTGTTCTCAAAGAAAGTGGATACTGATTTTTCTGCCAAGGATTCAAATACTTTAAATTTTTTTTTCCAAGTTGGAGGCTGCAAAGCAGACAAGGTCAAAGTAGAATATAGAATGTGTTTGCGGGAGTTGAGGGTCAGCTTATAGTTTCTTGTAAAAAATATTTTATCTGTTAATGTGGTGAACACAAATTTGTGTTTCCTACTGGTAAGGTAGAGATATTCATAATTCTGTAATGCCATGGTAGATAAGGAAGGGCAGAATTTCACTGAAGACAGCCTTTTATGCAATCTGTTTTTTTTTTTTTTTAAAAAAAAAAGCAACCCTCAATTTCTCCCCTCTTTGAAAGATGCTGCTTGAACAACACCTAAATTGAGTGAATCAACCATAAAGAGGGAATATAGTAATCAGTAATAACATGAAATAAACTCTCCCTGAATGCAGGCATGAGCATTTCTACATCAGTTTCTCCACGTTCTCAATTTGCTTCCTTTGTCAAGAGTGAACATTTCTTTTAGGTATTCCATTAGTCCTGTTTCCTATGGAAACGTGTATACTTTCCTGAGTATGCAGGATAACTCCATTCCTGGGATAAGGCACTGTTAGCCATTGAAGATGCTTCAGGGTTTAAGGCAAGATGGTCATTATACAAACACTTCCAGAGTTTTCTCGTTTGAGTATATTGTATGCACATGAATTTTCAGAACTCAGTGACCCGGAATATAAAAAAATTATATATGTACATACATACATGTATATATGTGTGTGTATGTATAATATATATATATATTCCATGGTTCAACAACATTCAGACTCAGTGATTGTCTGTAGGATATGCTTTTTATGAATTTTGCTCTGGGTTCTCACGGACTTAGGGTGGCACAGAGGTATCCGCTGAAATTGCCATTCCAGTAACTAGCTATTTCTGTAATTCTTATTTCTTAGGGGATTTATTTTCCATGATGCATATAAGCAATGTTACAAATAACAAATGTTAGGGAAAACAACAACAACAACAAAAAAAAACAGAAGATCCTTTGGTAAGGATTGCATTTTGGTCTTTCCAGACTTCATCCAGTACTAGATTGAGGTGAACAAAACAATCCTTCAAAGATTCTCATTCTCATTTTTGCATGTATATGTATGCACTCCTAATTTCCAAGTGCTGTGCAATTCCTTAGGAAAATTTAAAGACTATTGTGCAATGCAGAAGTTTGAAGTAGTAGGATTCTGTTGGATTGTGATACTTTGAGTCACTAAAACAGGCACAAACCATAGCAGATATCTTTCAGAAGGGCATTCTAAATATTTAATCTCTTATCTGTAGCATTAACGTGTAGTCTCTGGAAAAGGAAAAATGGGCAAGAAGCTGTAAAGTTTTTAATGCACAGGGAATACTACCTCTGATAAATAATTCATAAAATAATGTAACAATCTCATACCAACCAAGCCATAAATATTTTATTTGCATTGAATTTGCCCTAAACGCATGCTTCACTTTAGTCTTTTAAAGAGGATGGAGGCAGTAGCAACAAACAAGAGGAGACTGGTCACATATAATTGATTATTCCTATTTTTAAGAAGGAAGATGTTATATTCATGTAATTCCACATGTTACATTCTGTAGCAGTAAGTAGAGAGGGCAGGTTTCAATACAGTTATGTGCAAATGTAGAAGAGAGGAGCTTACAGTGTAAATTTTAGCTCCTTAATGCAGATTTGAATTCACCCTTAAGGAATAATTTGAGGCAATGTGCTGACATGCTGAGTTCTTTTCAGCTCGTACTGTGCACAGATTCCTAAAAGATTCACAGCTCTAAAAGAAGATCAAATGTTGCATAGAGTTGTGTTTACTGTTTGTGTTCTTCTGTAGCCTGGTCTTAAGTTTTGTATTGAGAGCTTAAGATCTTGTTCTCCTAGAGAAAACTTACCATGTGGTGACTCTAAATCTCCTTATCACTGAGTAAATTCAGACGAGACTTTCTCTGAAGGTAACAAAGTCAGTTTAAGAAACAATTCATTTCCCTCTTAGATGTTCAGCCTAGTTTGGTGAGTCCTGGGATCGGAGTATGAGTCTGGATGAGTATAAGGGTTAATCTGAAAGCTGATGGCGATTCTGGAAAAAGCCTCTGCTTGAAGGTTTCAGCTCCCTTCCAGTGGCAAAGGGCACACTGCAAAAAGAAATGCTTCTGACTTTCTGCAACTTCTCTCTTGCCCCATTACAACCATCTCTGATTTCTGATGTTTGAAGTCGCCAGATGAGCTGTCAGTTTATGAAGCTGATATTAGTGAACTGAATGGTTTAGCTGGCAATAAGATCCATCCTTCCTAAAACTGTAAACCAAATATTAAAGATGAAAGAATATACCCTTTTCCCTCTTAGCTATTGCAGAGGCTTCTATCATTGTTAGCATTTTGAGAATCACTTAGTGTTTCAATAACCTAACTTCAAGCTCATTTTAAATTCATTATCTTCATTTTTTTCTTCACACGGTTATAATTTTCTAAGTTTTTCTAATTACCTTTCAGAGATCTGTTTTGATTTGAAAATGTTATTCTATTTCTCCTCTTTCTTTTTGTAATCAGTCTGTATTTCAAGTGTGCCTTTAAAGTTTCTAATAGGAGTTTTGTTTTGTTTCTCTGCAAGTTCTCTGTCAGTTTTCTTTATTAGGATTAATCTGGACCTTCAAATCTGAGTGGTTGGTGATTTTTATTGCCTTAAATAACTAATTGCTATAGCTGGAAATTGAGCAAATTTTGAGGCTTATAAATCTTCAGACTACTAGTGCTTCTCTGATTATTTTCAACTATTTCCAGTAGTGATATAAAGAGAGAACGAATATTATCCATAACTGAATTTTCAAGAGATGTTGTCAGGACTGGGAAGTTTGCCCTGCTTTGCTACTACCTAGTTTAAAAAACTATTTATTTCTCCTTACAGATGTTATGCCTATGTTCTCAGACCATCATAGTAACAGCAACAACATATATATGAATTTAATGACTTCTCCAAAAACGGTTCTTGCCCACTTTTCCACTCATGCCACAGTAAATCAATGCTATTTGGAGTTGTTTGCATGCAGTGATGAGCTCCATACTGCTTTCCTATATGTCTTATAAGAATACTTAAAAGCTTTGAACTGCCTTGCTATTCAGATGCCCAGTGTTAAATGCTGTATAAATGAGACCCAATTGTGGTTGAAAACTAAGACAACAAAAAATAGTGGGGAATGGACTAAGTTGAGTTGGCAGTAAACAACAATTCCAGTAAATACCATTTAAAAGATTAGACTGGTAAGAAGCTTTCAAGGCCAGTGTGATCCCAGCAGTCATTTTAACAGACTGGAATCTTAACTTCCTTTTGACATACTTTGTGAAATGGGTAATATTTTGAAATAATAATTGAATTCCCCAGTGAATCACTGGTAGTAAATACACACTGCTAAAAACTTTCTTATAGAATTAATTTTATTGTCTTTTTGTTGTTTTGGAGTTTAACAGTGCCTTTTTCTGTCCTCCTTTATTTTTGTAGACATTTGTGAACGATGTGAGGATTCCAGAACAAACATACATCACTCTGAAGTTAGAAGACAAATTGAGATTTGGATATGATATCCTTGTCATAAAAATGTATAATGTGCTTGGACATACTTTTATTGTTGAAAGTATAGTTGCATTAAATAGAAAGTTTTCATACTTCCAAATAAGAAGGAACTCTGAAGTGTTTGTTTTTCTCATTTTACTCCAAAAATGCCTATGCTAGAGAGAATTACAGTTTTAAGAATAATATAGCCAGTAGTGTATTCTTTACACTCCTTTATATCCTGTGCACTTGCATGAAATGTTGTGCAACCACCCTACTATACACTAGTATACCATAGGCAATAGCGAGCCTTCTGAGAGGCATGTTGAAGGAATTTAGGAGAAGACCAGTAGAACTGATACTGCTTTGAGCAGGAGGATTGGCCTCTACAATCTCCAGAGACTCTTCCCATCTTCTACTGTTCGGTGATCCACAGAATATTAAGCTTATATGTTATTTAAATATATTAAATGAAAAAAGAATCAATGAGATTTCTGAGCATCTGTTGTATGCCTTGATTAGAAGTCGCTATATTTAATTGTTTTTCACTGAAAAAAAAAAAAAAGGGCACTTCCAGTGCTGTTACAAACCTTCGTTCATACCTTGCTGTTCCCAGCTTATTATAGGTATAATAATAACAGGTGTTAATAATAGCTTATTATACCTAACTTATTATAACCTCTGGGTTGCAAGGAATTATTACTTTCCTTTTAGGCAAAAAGGCACATTCTTGTACTAAATATGGAGAAATTGACTGCAAACTGTTGTCTTGCCGTATAATTCTCTTGTAAACTGAGAAATCTAAATATTTTCCTTAGCATATCCTACATACTAATCTTTTTACTGTCGTCAGAGGGGAAATGAGAGTCCCTGAAGAAGCACTTAAGGTAACAATGTGAAGTTCTAAAATACTCTTCTGCCCTCGTATATGTGGTTTTTGTTACATTTGAACAGGTGGGCTTTTTTTTTTTTCATTTCTTTATTTTTTTCCCTTTATTCATGTAGCATGAAAAATTTACAAGCCAACTTCAGTTATCCCAAAAATCCTCAGAGGCAGAAGGATCAAAGTCAGCCAGCTCCAAAAATTGTGAGTCCAAGGTGACTGACTCCACAGCTGAAGTGCACCACAAAACTGCAGAAGCAGTGAAAACTGAGGAGAAAGCAGTGGGTAAGATGCTTATTTGCTGCAGAAGCACACAAACTTGTCAAGAATGTTCATTTGCTTTTCTAGAGTTTTTCTGAAATTATGTAGATGCAAAAACTTAATATGAGACTTTTAAAAATATTTAAGTGTAATTAAATAATTTTCTGAATTGCATTTCTAAATTTGGTTAGCATCTAGGTATAAAAACTCTCAGAAGTGGACCTTCTGGTAGCCTATCAGAGTTTTGTATTTCTATTCTCTTCCTAAAATTGTATTTTTATGGCAATAAAATGATGCTAATAGTAGTTTAATTGAAAATTCTTGTTCATATACAACTCTCAAAATTTTCCACTAGGATTCTCAAATTATCTTCCTGTTCTTAAGATTTTGTTTCTGAGGAGCTTTGTTGTTTTTTCTTTTGTAGCTATTAGCATTCATTGTTGGACACATACAGTAAAACGTGGATGTTTAAAAAATGCTAGAAATATAAAACAAGTGTATGTTTTTTCATTTTTTACTAGATATCCCTGTGCGCGCGCGTGTGTGTGCTATTGTGTGTGTGTGGTCTTGTTTTGAAATGATCTTTTGAATTAATGTGATGTTGGCTTTGTTACGGGTGTCTTTAATTCCAGGATGAGAACGTTTATTTCTCTGTTATCTGACCATAAAACCTTGTTGTGTTATCTGCTACAGGAAATAACCACAGGAAGGAGACATGAATCAAGTCTCATTTCTATATGGAACTGACTGACCCTTTAGTCTAAGGGTGTATGATAGCTTGGGCTTAATCAATTCTTTTGGAATGGAATACTTGCTTCAACAAATTCTCTGCCTTTAGGAATCTGTAGAATAGCATGTTATAAGTAGTTAACCTTTTCGTTTTGTTGACTAATCTACCATCCTGTAAAAGATACATGCAGCCTATCTAATACTTCAGTATTTCTGCTCAGTATGTCCCTTCAGCATTCAGCTCTTCTTATATTTTCATAATGTAGCACACTTTTTTCCCTCCTCTGTTTTCTTTTTGACTTTGATTGCTAATATTTTTTGGAGGAGTAAAGTTAATGTTAAGGGTTTCTCTTTGTCACTCAGAAGCTTTCTGGGAATTGATTCTCTCTCTGTTGCTGCATGTTGCTGTTTACTCTTGCTAAGTCAGTACACGAGCATCAGCCGTCAATTTTTAAAAACAGTTTAGTATTGACTATAGTAATAGGTGAAAAAAATATATATATAACTGATATCTTCAAATCATGCCGCAACTTTTCAAGTGTTAAGTTTTATGTACTCTTTTGCATTTCAAGGAGTACAACATTGCGAATAAAAATGTTGACATTAGTAATAGTCAAAGTAGTAGATGAGCTGCTACCTAAATTTGAACAGAGCACATTATCACTTTGGACTGCAGACAGTCTCTTCAGAAGATCCGTGTGATGTTAAAATAGCTAAATATTAGTAGGATAAAAGTATTATCGTAGGAGATCAGGTTTTTCTTTTAGTATCTTTTCTAATTTAACCTTTGCATTTAAATGTATTTAATCGTGTGTAAGCTTTGTAAGTAACAAATATACATTATTTCTAATTGTACTGTAATTGAACTATTGCCTACTTAAAAGGAGTGATTGTGCTAACTAATGTTTTTACAGTAGGTAACTTTTGGTTTGGTAACTCTGTAGTAGCTGTCAGCTATCTGGACTCTTGGCAGCATTGCAAAATTTGGTCAGTTTTTTCTAGTGGTGAGTTCAGATTTCAGTGAAAGGTCAATGTGGGTAAAAGTGAAAATCTTTTCACAGAAACAGCAGGAGAGAGCTTTTAGGAATGTGCTGCTATTCTGATGACTTCAGGCTGAAATCAGAAAATAATGTTTATGGATATTTCAGGGTAACAATAAGAAATGTCAGCTGCCTTTGCATAAATGTTTGTGCCAGTAGTTTTTATCAGGTCATTAGTAAGCTTTTATATTTAGAACCCAGATCATTTATCCAAGCCTCTAAGTTGGTTTGGTATTTGAGTGAATGCATACAGGCAATCTACTCAAGCTTCCAGGAGAAAAGATCTGAGCAAACTGTTTTCTGTTGTTGTCATTTGAATCTAAGTATTGCAATGAATTGGATAAGAAACTGTGTGCTTTGGGCTGTTTTGTAGACCTTTCTGCCATGCCACGTGGTACGCCTTTGTATGGACAGCCAGCCTGGTGGGGGGATGAAGAGGCTGATGAGAAAAGTGGTTGTAAGCCAGACAGCAAACGTGAAGAAAAAATGAATGAAACGGGGGCTTCTGGTAAGTCTGTCTTCTCATTTTTGCAATATTAGTGCACATTACTAAAGGAGATATTTTTGAAGTGTCATAGCTTGTGTACATAAAAGTGTATTCAAATTAAATTTGTTACTTTTTTTTTTTTTAATCCCCTGAGAAATTATATGCACTTCCAGGGACCGATTTCAGACATGTTATATCAGTTTTCAACATACGACATAATTGCAAATTAATATAGAGAATAAAATTATCAGAGCCAGTGTGCCTCATTAATTCGTATCTGGCCTTTCGTATACTTGGAGATTGTAGTTGACTATTTTTAAAAATCTGAAAATAAATGATAGCTAAAAGTCAAATACATAATGCTATATGTGCTATCTGTGCTAACTATCTCTGCTAATTCATTATTGCTGCCTTAGTATTTCATATTTCATGCAATAAACATTTCTATAGTCAGATATTATGTTAATGGTTATTTCCATCATGTAGATCATGTAGGTTTTTCAGTTAGCTTGTTTATTTCGTCTGACCAAATTTAAATCTGGATTTCTATAACTAGACTTCTAAATCTGTCATCAGGCCTATAAATAAAATGACTGTTTTTCCAATACAGAGAATAGCTTCAAAACTTTGTGAAGTCAGGATAGAATTCAACCCATTTTGGCTGGCTGCTTTAACATGAATTCAAGGACTACCAGTTTTACATTTAAAAAATATAAAGGGCTTAGACTGGGTTGGGGGCTCTCTCTTCTTGTAATAGTAGATTACTTGCTTGTCATGACTCCTATTTTGGAGGAATTGGAGTAAAGTCTCAAAAATGAAAACAAACTAAAATTACTCTGCAATGCAAGGGAGTCAGCATCCTTGGAGTTAAAGTTTTGTCCTAGCTTTTAATAACTTCTTCATGTTAGTCTGAAGTCCTGATAATTTAGCCAGTAGTGGAATTCCCGTAAGATTTGGGTGAAAGCGTCAAAGTTGTGACAATTTTTATGGAGCTAAAACCACATTGTAACACACAAAACAACTATATTACAAATATTACATTTAGGGATTTTTTTTTTCTTTAAAGGTTATATACACAATGTGAGAATAGTATGTAATCCTGCCCTCCTATGAACGCTCTGTAAATACAGGTTTAATATTCTACATTAAGGTTTAAAATTCTACATTAAACATATCTAGCTCTACAATTGTGCATTTTGCATCATCTCTCAAAATCTATTTTTTGAATTGTAACATTTTAAAGAAAGACTGATTATTTGTCCTTAATTTCAGTAATAGTAAGAAACAGCGATTGCCATATGTAGTTTTGCTTCCGCTTTTCTTAACATGAAGGAAGGATGCCTATGTTGTCAGTTACAAAGAAAAGCAGTAAATCTTTGCCTTCTGTCAATGCCACTGGAAGAATGTTAGCCAAATGTGTATCTCCTTATTTTCCACATTAGAGGAAGGACTATAAAACCTGTGACTTTACATCTTGCCATCTATTTCAAAACAGGAATGCTAAAGACTCTGGTATCTGAATTGCATAGAAGCTAAAATTTTGCTTAGATGCAAACAAGTATATATAAAAAAAAGAGTTTTAGGATAAAGATTTTTTTGTATTTGCTTGTACATATATGCACTGGTTTAATTTTAAAGCATGCAATTTTTTTGCACTCATTATACACAGGGTTATTAGAAAGCAATATCCTGATATCTGTGGTTTTGATGTAATGACCTTAACAAAATTGATACAAGATTCTTTTGGTATATTAACATGCCTATTCTTGTTTTTTAATTATAATCTTAAATTATTTTTTCAAAAGCGTTATTGAATCATGTCGTTTACATGCTCATGTATTTATTTCCCCAAGAGATTCTCAGAAAGTTATCAGAACTTCTGCCTTGTTTCTTGAGTTCAGAAAAAACTAAGATGCCACTTGCTTCTTAATTTAAGTAGTCAATAAGTTCAGTCTGTTTTAGTAGTACATGGAAATAAGTGTATTCAAGACAGAACTTGAGGAAAGGAGATCTGTTTAACATGCCTCATCTTAGGCTCATCGTAAGGTGAATAATGAATGGAGAAGGCACTAATATTTTCTACAGTAGTTGATTTTGTTTTCTCATTTTCCTTATATACGAAGACATTAGAGCCTGGAGGCTTTCTAGCAAATACACCATTTGTGTTTTTTTGTAACTGCACAAGATATGTTAGGAATTGTTTATGTTGTTTAATCATGTTCAACATTGTTTTTATCTCCTACAATTAGAATTAATCTAAATAAAATGCAGGAATAGCTTCTATTCACCTAAACAGAAGGACTTAAAAATCTACTAAAAGAGAGTTCAGTTTGAGCAAGTACATCATGAGCAAAGGCTTATGTGAAATTTTTGTACAAAGATACTACTCTTAAAAAAACAAACTTTAAAAAAATCGCTTTCTAAAAAAAATTGTCACCCTTGGAGGATGTTGATTTTAAAATCTCATGCATAGAAAAATGATTTGTTTGTTTCACTCTCTTTATCTCTAAATAGACATCAGTCATATGTTTCTACTAATCTGACTGTTGAAGATGATTTTTAGTAGTTCTGGCAGAAACTCTGAGACACGAGATAGAGGTGGTATTTGCCTTTGTGGATTCTTTTCTTCAGTACTAGAACATCAACTCTAATATCTGGGTAGAAGTGTGCTTAAAAAAAAAGAAAAAAAAAAGAAAAAGAAAAAAGCTCAATTATTTTCATACCGTTAAAGTAAATACGTAAACTTTTCAGGCCCCTTTGACCTACAGTTGCTTCCCATGAAAACTTTTAACTTCTGAATTTCCAGTACCAGTATGTGTTTTCTTCATGTACTTAGGTGCTTTAACATAGGTGAATATAGGAATTGGAAATCGTTATAAAAATAGTTTATAATGAAAGGAAATCTTAAACTTTACAGGAGTTTACTGTTTGAGTATTTCTGAACTAGAAATTGAATTTTGTAATCTACCAAAATTACTCAAGATAGATGTGGTTATTTGCTCTTTTATGTGCTCAAATTATAATACTGCAAGTAGTTAATACACCAAATTGAAACTTGTTTTCAAACTGTCTGAAAAATAAGTAACTTAATCAGAAAATTTCAAGAACTTATACAATTAAATTCATCTATAACTCACATTCTTTGGTCTTGATACCTTTTTAACTAATTAATCTTATGAAATGTCTGCTTCATGCTTTAATGATCTGGTACATGATTATTCATTGAATAGGAAAGATGACATGAGTTACAAGAGATGGGGCAAGGTTTAATAAGGAGATTCTGTTAAGCCAACTATAGACAAATAATCTTATTAACTTGAGACTGTAAAGACTAATTAAGTATTACTGTTTCCTATCTTGATGGAAACACACTAATGGAAATTCCTTGCAAAGAGCAGGAGGACTGGAAGGGCTGTCTTTCAGAGACTGTTATTTTTCAGAGACTAATTTTATTATTCATGGTATATTAGCTAGTATTAAAATGGATTGTTGCATGTACACCTATATAATTTTATACCATCTGTGCTGCACCTGGTACAAGTGTTATTAAAGATTCTGTATTTTCTTTATTTTCTCTAGCTTTACGTGCTAGTGACAAACTTGATGGGTGTATAGTTATTTATGTTGCCCTGGGCTGCATTCTTTCTTCCTGGAAAAACAGAAACTATTTTCTGCTGATCTCAGTTGTGATTGTAGGACTTAACATCATAAATTTCTTTACCAAAAGCCTTCCAGACAAATCATGGTTTGTAAACAGAATTTAAGAATCTGAAGCACTTTTGCTTATCTTTAGCACAAAGCACTTTAGAATTACAACATCACTAAACAAATTATCATCTGAAATTATTCCTCAAATTTTCGAAGAAGTATCATTTTAAGGTAAAGCAGGCTGACTGATCATTGGAATGAACATTCAAAATCATTGAAATTAACATTCAAGTTCTTAATATCAGCTTTGCTGAGTTGTGCCCTGCAGTACATCAATACATACAAGTGCTGCATGTGTGATACTTGCTATGCTAAGTAGATGTGAATGTGCACAGTATGTCACAGTATCCTTACAGAACTTTAGAACCACAACCTGAAAATAAAGTAAGACTAGTTTTACTGTTTTGCTCCTTTTTTTTTTAGCTCATTTAAAGAACTCTGATAAGTTAATGATAAAATAATTATTGTAAGAGGTGCAGATTAAATATAGTATATATTTTTGGTATCATTTAATAAGATAAATTAAAATAACATTAAAAGAAAAAAAATATTGTACTTAATCTTAGGTAAATGTTTACATACATTTTTGCAATTCCTCTTACCTGTTAAATGAAAAATAATGCCTTTAGCAAACTGATACTGCTTCTGCCTGCAAAATAAAAGGACCAGCAAACAAGAAGCTTAAAGATAATTGGGAAATAAAAGGCAATATGAAGATAAAGAAAATTTTCATTAGAAGTGCGAAAGATTTATTAAGCATTTGAAATAGCTGGCTGCACCTTCTCATTAAGTCTATAATCTTACGCTGCCAAATATGAAGCCAAAATATTTTGCTAATTGAATAGTGTGTAAATATGATATTTTAGACTATTCATACCTTTGACAATAAAAAAGTATGTTTATTAATTGCAAGAAACTTGTTAAAAAATACTACTCTTCCCAAATTCACCTTTTTTTTTTATGTTCTCCTTCATTCCAAAATCACTTCAGTTCCTGCTCCCCACATCGCAGTTCATAACCCTTTCATTCCCTTATTTCCCAAAGAACATGCTTACAGTTCTTATTTCACAAAATTGTTGTTTTTGCTGTGATGTTCTCTTCCTTCTGTTGGTAGCAAGTAGCTTTTTATAATAGGATAGGATTGCAAAGGTAAGATTACTTTATAGGTCACTGTTCGTAATATTTAGAAACCTTCCAGGTATTACATGTAGGACATCAGTAGAAAAATTTCAAAAGGCAATTTAGACCAAGACATAAAAATTCACCTCATTAGTTTAGGTGATTAATTATGTTCTTTTTTTTCTAAAAATGCAAGTACTTTAGTTTAAAAACAGTATTTTTAGGTAATTAAAATTGATTTGCACATTGGATTTTTTTAAACTACTTTCCAAGATTTTCTCTGGTTTGGTAGAAGTCATTTTATATTTGTCGTTAAATTTCTAATTTATTTGATAAATTCTGTCATAATTTAGATTCAAAAAATATTATAGCACCAACAAAAATATCAGAATCAAATACTCTGCACATAATTATGGCATAAAAAGTTGATATCAAATGCTAAATTTGTTGCAGGAATCTGATCACCTACTGTCATATTTGAAGGGAGCATTCAACCCAATATCTTGTTTAATTACCAGTTTTATGAGTTATATAAAATCATAGGTTTGAAGCTTTGAATCTGAGTGAACAGAACCATGGCGGGGGTGGGGGAAAGGTATATATGAGCTTGGTCCTTGGTGGATTAGTCTTCTGTTTAATAATAGCATTGCCTGTTGTGAGCGTCTTAGCTAAAGATTTGACATTAGCAGAGCTTGGTCCATTCTAGCTTGTTAGACGAATGAAACGGAGGGAGAATAATGTGGTAGTTCACCTGAAATTCAGTAGCTGCAACATGTGACTTTTATTTCTGTGAATTTTGTGTCTAAAAATAGAAAATATTTTAATGAACTTCGCTTCAGTAAAGCAGATGTATTCTTTAATGCTAACCTACTGTCAAAGATGTTTTCAGGATGGGGGCTAAAGCTGCATTCAGTTTCCCAGAGAATGGAGTAGTGAGTTGCTATTGCAGTGTCCAAAAACCACCCAACAGAGATGAAATACTCAGAATACAGAAGGTTCCTCAGTACAGGCTGGTTTAGAAGCTGACAGTGCTTCAACGGCTGCTGTGGAAGGAGCCCAACACTTATCCAATGTCTCATTTAACTGAGACATTCTTGGCACGGAGCAAAAAAAATTACAAAAAAAATCTGAATTCTGAGCATCTTTTGTGTTTGCAACAGCTACATTTATCTAAAATAAAACAGTCCATGTGTCTTTATTAAAGAGATATTTTGTCTCATTGTTGTCCGACTTTGGCACTCAATGAGGAAGTTGTACAAATTTTGTCATTCCTCCATTATATCATTTTATTCTATTTTATTTTTTTTTTTAACTTTTTCAGCTACTATGTTATTCACAAACTACTTTGCTATTTATCCATATCAAATTACTCTCCTTATTATGCCACCCTTCCCCTTTTACCCATTAAACTTTCAACTGTAGTATAAATCTGTTTCCATTGCTACCTTATGGCATAATGAGCTCAATGCTTGTTGTGACAACCTCAGTTCATGTTTTGGCTATTTTTAGCCATATAAATTAATTAATTGCTTTCTTATTCCGCTACTTGGCAAACTAAAACAATTTCTTAAACATCTTAATGTAGTTCATGATGAAAGATGTAGGAACTATTCGGAATTCTTTTTTTGGAATGAAAATTGCTGTTGCTTCTAACATCGTGACCATCTGTTGCTTATAATACATCTTCACACCAGATATTTTGGCTGATTTGCCACTCCATGAAATGCAATCAGAAGGCTTGCTTTCTTAAAGATATAGCAATAGTTTTTCGAGCAACCACAAGAAGCTGTAGCTTCTGTTCAAACTAAACAGTGGAACTCTGAATACCCATCCCATGCTCTTCCAACATCCTGCACTCTACCCAGTTCAGAGCATGATTTGGTAACATGCTGCATGATTTCAGCTATTGTTGCTCTAATCTGCTTTTTCAGTGCATTTGCAATTGAAGATAACAAGTGAAATATGAACAAACATTAGCATTTGGCTCAATTCTTTTACCTTTTGTAGAAATGTAAGAAAAGCACTTTCCAATGTTTGTCAGTATTAGAATATTCAAGGCACAAATTATGTTTTTCTTGCATTAGTGTGTGAATTGTTTTTCCAAAGAATTTCACCTCACAAAATTATACCAGCCATCCGCTGATGAGGTGGAGTCAAATCACTAGCTTGGGGGCACCATGATTTGGCATTTTTCAGATAGATTGGAATTGCTCTAATGATATTCTCAAGTATTTTCTCTAGTGTTTTTTTTTTGGCCACTTTCTGTTGCTAATAATTCATCTGCTCTTCAAATCATCAAAGAAATCTATTGGAATGCAAATTTTCTTTGACAAATTGAAGTGAGCTTTTTGCCACTACACAGTCCTTATGGCCAAAGCTCATGCCGTCTTTTCAGTAAGGCTTTGTAAATGTGATTCTGGAATTGTAGTTCCAGAACTGTGTTGCTCTATCATCTCCACCATCTTGCTGTTTAGTTCAGAAATTATTCAAGTGGCCTTTAAAGGAGTTCGGAAATTTCTTGAAGAACCTGAAGTTCCGAAGTATTGTGAAATCTGTTTTATTTTTCCTAATAGGATGCAGCACAGATGCCAAGCAAGCTGAGGAGCAGTCTGCAGCTGCAAGCGAAGAACTTTATCCTTTCTGTAGGGAGCCAAGTTATTTTGAAATCCCCACAAAAGAATTCCAGCAACCTTCACAAATAGCAGAGGGTGCTATTCATGAAATACCAACAAAAGACACACAAAGCTCCCATGCAGCAGGTGCAGGGCATGCTTCTTTTACCATTGAATTTGATGACAACACTCCAGGAAAAGTAACAATCAAAGACCATGTGACAAAATTCACTCCTGAACAGCGCCATAAGTCCAAGAAGCCTTCTTCCTCTGCTGGCCAGGACCTGCCTGGGCTTCAAACAGTGATGATGGCTGCAGAGAGCAAAGTAGCAGATTGGCTAGCACAGAACAATCCTCCCAGAATGATATGGGAACCAACAGAGGAGGATTCCAAAAGTATTAAGAGTGATGTGCCAGTGTACTTGAAGAGACTGAAAGGTAACGTAAATAATTCCAGATATACTTATTTCATGAGGTAACGGTCCTTCTACACTATGCAGCAAGTGGATCCCTGAGCCCTTGCGGAGTTCTACTGAAGTTCTGGATACTCCACATTTGCACAGGGATCTGCACTGGTAAATCTTATTGCACAATTTAGTCATTAAAAAGAGGATTAAAAAAAATCCTAAGTCGTGCAACAGTAAGTATACTGACTGGAGATGTTTTAAGTCACAATGCAGTTGAAATCAAGGAGAAAGGAAAAACCCAAACCTGACCTACGTTTTATATATTTCATATTTTTTCCTGTGTGTTACTTCAAAAACCTGAATTTCTTTCCAAAATCAAAGCTCTGAAGTTCAAATTATGCTTTTAGCAACTCTTCTGACAGCATGCACTCAGCGAACATTGATGAGGTCTAAGGAAATCCTTAATGGCAAGGTGTGCATCAGGTAGCTATTCTGCTTAATTTGATCATGCACAATGGAGTTGAGCTCAAGTCATGAATCTGAAATAGACCAAAAAGCTCAGTTTTTATACTAATTGGCAGAATGTCATATTTGTAAGAATACTGCTGTTGAATGAAGTTCCATTTATTAAATATGTTCATTTACTGCAGACAACATTTCAAATAAACTGAAATCAAATGTTAACTGTGAAATGTGTATTTTCTTTTTGACTACTTAGTAAAGAAAAATGTTTTTCCTTGCAGATGAAAATCCCAATGACATTTAAACTTTCAAAATGAAAATTTCTGAAGAACTTTAAGCGCCCTTTGTTTTCTATTTTTAATTTTGGCAGGTTAACTCTGGAATCCCAGCTAACTGGGGTTGGAATAAATGTGTTTTGTCATACTGATCAAAAGTCTGCTTTTCAAGGCTAGCTCTTTCAAATTGATATAAAAAATAACACTTGAAAACACATGCTAGCACCAGCATGCTAACATTCAGATGAGTAGTACTTCTAGAGAGTAGTACTTCTAGAAAATATCACAGAGCTTTCTTTGGTCTTCATGATACTGTATCATATTCATGATCATTTTTAAAAAATATTATCCATGCCACTTTGATAAATAGGTAGGACTATGTTTTTAAGTCCTTAGCCTTCTCCTTGGAATAGAAGCTGGTGAAACCGTGTTAAATATTCAGCTGAGAGAGGTCTAAGTTATATGTTGCATTTGGCCATGACAAATTTTTTGAGTTTTTGTAATCGTGTGTTATCTGCTTGTATTCTGTCTTATATTGTACTATTTCAGGTAGTAAAAGTACAGTATATTTTTAGCTCTTCGAAAGTTAGATTGAAAAAAAAAATGTAGATAATCTTTTGGGTTTTTCTTCTCCGCTTTTTCCCACTATATCCTCTAGTGAAATCACACTGTGAAGATAATGTAGGATTTTTCATAATGGTGTTGCCATTTACTGTTGTTATGTGGAAGTATATGAACCATTGCATCATTTCCGTAGGCATTGTACAAATTTGTAATGAAGGGAGGTCTTTGTCACAAACAGGAATGTAGTAAGAATTTCAGCCACATGCGCAGTATTGTTAGCCTTACTTTACTATGATTCCCATTGTAAATAGTGGCTGCCTATTCTATGTAAGTGAAGAGGAAAAAAAACCCCACCACACTAAAAGCTATTCTCTGTAGGAGGGGAAAAAGAAAAAAAAAGGCTGTGACTTACTGGGTATGATTATTCAACCTATGATACATTTTTAAGGCATCATTACTCAGTATGTTTCTGTGTGTTGTTTATGTCTATGTGCATGTGACTAAATATATAATCAATATTCATAGATCTCAAAGTATAAGTAGTAATGAATTAAGTAATAATTTTAGATCCTGATGGTAAAATATGTGATTCTGCGAGGAGTGAATAATAATAATAAAAGAAAAAGGATTAAAGAATTAAATCCAATTTAAGTAAACATTTCTCATGATAAGCTTTTGTAATAGATGGGGGAAAAACTGAGAATCTATGGCTCTCAAAAGAGATTTTCAGCAACTGGAAGGTTATATGCAGGTTATATATTAGGGTAGCTTTTTTTTTTTTTTTTTTTCTTCCTATTTAAACTCTGCCTAGAATGCTTTATTAGTCATTCATAATTGGCCAGCTATATAACAAAATTAGTGTAATTGGAGGAAAATGTTATTTCCAAACTTCAGTCAAAAGTATTTTATTTAGTATTTTACTAGCTGTGCATTTTTGATAAAATATTCATAGACTAGAATTTTGGTGAAAAGGGCAATTCAAATGTGCTAATGTTACCAATCAGTTGTAAAAGGCTTCATTGTTTGACTGGTAGATTTAGCTGTAACTGTACAATATTTGCAGAACCAGTTACTGAATACTGTTGGATTCTACACGAAAAAAATGATTAGGACTTTTTTTTTTTTTTTTTACTTTATTGTTTTCTTTGGTATATGTTGAGTGTTTAGGGAGTTTATTTTGTTTTAATTCCTCAGTTGCATAAAACTGTTTTGCTTTTTTCTAGGGAATAAACATGATGATGGTACACAAAGTGATTCAGAAAATGCTGGTGCACACCGGCATTATAGTAAGCGAGCAGCTCTTGAAGAACACTTAAGGCACCATCATGCAGAGGTGAAAAAGTCACACCAGAAAGTCCATTCTACAGAAAAGCAACAAGAGCAAACTGGTGCAAGTCAGACTGCTTTTATGATTGAGTTTTTTGATGAAGACCATCCTCGAAAGAGACGTTCTTACTCTTTTTCTCAGAATGTAGGTGCTCCGTGCCCAGAAACGCCTTCTCCCACACCTCACGCGCGGTCTGAAAGAATGAAGCCTACATCAGCAGAGAAAGCAGTTCCCTCATCTGGGCAGGCTAGCTCAGCACATCACAGAGCGGTACATGGGGTTCATGCAAAACTTTTGAAGCAGAAATCAGAAGATCCCTCTGCTGCCTTGCCTGTCCTACAAGCGGCGTTGTTGAGGAGCTCAGGAAGCCTTGGCCATCGGCCTAATCAGAACCAGGAAATGGACAAAAAGTTGAAAAGTCAACATATTTCTGCTGCTACTGAAAAGGACCATGAGGACGACCAGAGTGACAAAGGTACTTATACTATTGAGTTGGAAAACCCCAATTCCGAAGAAATGGAAGCCCGTAAAATGATTGACAAGGTAAGAAAACTAAAACATATAATGTCACCAGAAGTGGTATGTGAGCAACAGCACACCACGTCCATTTTATTTATTAAATCTGCTTTCTGACTAGCTTATAATGGTGATATATGGAATATCCTAAAAACATCAGCATGCCTTAGCTTAAAGTTATTCCTGTTGATACTGCTCTTCTTTTAGCTTGCTGGTTTTAATCATCTGCATTTTCAAATGGCTAAGTGCTTCAATAATATTAGGCAACAAAATTAAGTTGACTTTTTTTTTATAAAATTTATTTTTAAATAATAACAATAAATTTACTAAATTTAAATTTATTGCATTCCTGTCAAAATACTTACCTGTTCTTAACATCTTAATGTTTGCCTTATTTTTCAGAAACAAATCATTTCCATCCAAATTAACATGCAGAAATAGATTGCAAATGTTTTCTCTACTGTAATAGAGTTATATTCAATAAAGTTCTTAACTGCACAAATTTAAATTTCAGCATCTCCTGTAAACTAAGAGTATAATCAAGTATTCTTTCATTTTCCAAATATGTTTCAGAGCAATGTTATTTTCATATATTCAGTTTGAATAAAGGCATATACTTCATTAGATTTAGGAGCCTTACAATGACCTAGACTGCAGATAACTTATTTTTGAGATTCAACATCAAGTTAAAGGAAAAACTGCATTTAAGCATTTTGCCTACATGATTTTTGAGTAATATCTTTCTGTGTGTATATGTGTGCGTTAAAGAGATAGAGTGAGACAAGAGTTTTATGTGTATATATGCGTATGTATCTATAATTTATTTATTGCTTGTTGCATTTTGCTAAATAATCTGTTGTAGAATGCTGGCATCTGATTCTAGGTATGTTGTTAGCCTAGCTAAGAGGAAATTCATTATTGACTTGTTACACTTGTTATCTAAGAACTGTTTCTTTACATCTTTAGCTTTTTCAGAGATTAGCAGGTATATTTAGCTAGCAGTTTAAGCTAAAATGTAGGGAAGATATTTTTTGGAAAATAAACTTTTTTTTTTTCTTGTGGGGAAGCTGCAGAAATGTTGATACACTATCTGGGGAAATGGGACATTTTATTAGGTAGTTTTACTTCATAAAAAGTGCTTAAGGATTAAAATGGTGAGGGCTAAAAATAGAGGTGATTTGCTCCTAAAATCATGAATGTGATAGTTTCTCTTGTGGACTCTAAAAAGAAGATTTTTGATTAGTTTCAGTGTATTAAATGTACTTCTGAGAAATAAAAGCACTATAGAATGTAGAAAGTGACAATGAAAGAACTGTATTGCTTTGACTTAATGACTACAAACATCTGCATTTAATTCATAAGGTGTAACTGTTCAGTTACATTGTATCTGAAAATATATAGGTTCTGATTTTGCTAAGTACAGCTGTACAACAGGCCTGGCTTATTTGGAAACTGGGAAAACAAAGTAAGATTTGGACATTGTCAATTTGTGTATTTTTATAGGGTAGTAGTATTGCTTAAAATTCAGTAAGCTTTCAAATTATTTGTGTTCTTTAAGATCCATTCATATGGTACATCCTTAAAGTCTGTAAACAGTTTTTTGCTTGAAATACCTCTGCTGCTATGGGAGAGATTTAGGAACATGGAGATTTGCATTAAGCATGGTAGCAAAGTGTGGCTTAATAAACCTAGTGTTCCATATAGAGCTTTTGCAAATCATAAAATATCCCTTACTGCAGTATAAAAAGAAATTAAAGAGAAATTATAAGTTAAAAGTTTACTAGGAAGTAAAGGAGGAAAGTTTGTTCTTTGACCTCTCCTATATTTGTTTTCATGTAGCATCTGCGCTGAAGTGTTATGAACAGTATGTATTGGACACAGTACAAAGATACTAGATTTTTGTAAGTCTTGCTGCTTAATTCTTGCTTGATTTGGTAATAGGAAAGAAGAATGTCATTGTTATGAAGTGCAGAAAAACAGTCAGTGAAGAAAATCACATGGCAGTGAAAATCTCTTGTTCCAACTCAGCTCAGCTTTGCTCCCCTTCCATTTTAATTTCTACTGCTCTGAATTCTTTCACTTTTTTTTTTTTTTTTAGTGAATAAATGCAAATTAATGTGAATAAATGAAGAAACGACAAGGGCTTTTGTCAGCCTATTGACTCCTTAGAAAAGGACTTAGATTTACTTGGACATTTTCCTTCAAGTAACGTATTGAGCAATTGTGATAAAATCCAGATGTAAGACATATGAAAAATGGCAATCATTTTGGGTAGTCTTTATGATAGTTGTCAAATAAATACCAGTCTGAGATAAGTCTTTGCAGAAAATAAGATCTTTAGAGGAGTCTGTTCTATTTTATTGGCAGTTTATACAAGAGTTTCTCTCTGTGGATGCCTCTGAGATTGAATGGCTAAGGTCTCAAGTGTTGTGCTACTTACTCCCTTGAGTGCTGGTCTGCATTTAATCAATAATGCCAGCATAACCGCCCTTTGGCAAGTCAGACTTTTTTATTTTCTGAGCATTTGTGATGCCTTCTAAATTGATTTTCATTCAAGAGTGGCTTTTGAGTCAGAAGATTCCTTCAACCTTACAAAAGTTAAGGATCCAAGAGGTATTAAGGAATTGGAGGTTCAAATTCCCAGAAGAATCAAAAACCAATCCACATATATAATTAAAAGGAGCAAAATTCTCAGGTTGAGCTGTGTTGTAGCCTTTCAAAGTACCTTTTTGCTTAATGGAGTCTTATTCTGAAGATTCAAGGAAATGGATGTCAGAAAAATAGGTGCCCTTAAGATCTTAAGAAACACTTTAAAATCAGAGAAGGATGCTGTTACTGTTCATCCAACGTCTTGATCTCATATAGATTGTTAAGAATGCAGTAAGTTGCTCCACCACTATATCAGTGCCTAAAAAGGTATTGCCTCTATAGTAGTAGGAGAATAAGATAATGAAGTATATTCTTTTTTGTTTTTTTTCCTCTGGAACATGTTGAAGCCAGACTTTTGAAAAGAAAATATGAAAAAGATTTTTTTTTTAAAAAAAAAAGTTCTTCTAAGAAAAGAAAATATTTTCAGGAAATATTTTCTGTAATAGATAACTGTATTTATTTATCTGCAATGACGACTGCCTCGGAGTGAATGGATTGTCATTTAGTCAAAGCCGAAGATTTGGAAAAATCCAGGCCTGTGCTTTGCACAATTTTGGCACAAAAATGCTGAGCTAATGGAAGAAAAATTCAGGCATATATGAAGATATGTCACTGGAAGGCAAGGTCACTGTAATAAAAGCAACCTACATAAATGATCACAGATACTGAACTGAGTAGGAAAAGAGCTTTGTTAAATTATTTGCACATTTGCAAAATAGAATTTGATTTTAGGACATAAAAATGGTAAGCAACAAATTTTCAGTATTAAACATGAAAAAACAAGAAGCAATTGGTACCTGTCTGGAGTCTTCCAGAAACAGTGCATGATTCATTTATGTGAGTTTTTCTTTAGGATTAATTGTAATTTAAATCTTTTTCTTTTTACATCTACCTTGCTAGAAATTTATTTCTGTAACAGTAGTGTTATTTGAAATGTAGTGTACTGTTATTTGAAATTTATTCAAAAATCTTAAAGTACTTGTCAGAGGAAGTAAATATCACTGCCCTGTGTCCAGCTTTGAATGGGTGTCTTCTCCTTAGAAATTGTGTGTTTTCTCTCAGAACAACAACAAAAAAAAAGCAGAGAAAAAGCATTTTGTTCCTTAAAATTTGAGAATTTTGTAGAAAATAGGAAAAATCTCCAGCCATATTATTGAAGAAAGGCAGAGAGGCCATATTTCCAGGCCGAAATATCAAAGAGTGAACTCATGTATATTAACAACAAAAAAAAAAAAAGTTGTAGAAAGAAAACTATCATCCCCTGCATCTATTTATGTGACTAGTGTATGTGTGAAACCTGAGCTACGATGTCTTAATTCCCTCCCCAGGGACTCTCTCTAAGGCGTGAAAAAGCTACCTTTATTTCAATTTGCATTTAACATCCGAGACAGCATGGGATGATGTGATGTTCTATTTTGTCTTATTTTATCCTACTATGATTAGAAACTACTGGTTTCTCTTCCTGAGTCAATCTTGGGCTTTTCTTTACAAGTCAACCTTGTCTAAGTAAATAAATTAGTATGGTTAAGGTTCCACTAAAACACTGGAGGAAACATTATTACATTTCTATGTTTTCTGTGAAAATGTTGAAGGTTTTACTTTCCTCACACACATAATGAAGTGTCAATGAAAATCTTCGTCCAGGAGAAGAATCTGTAAATTCTTAGACCTATTGGTATTTATATTTTATTTCTAGCCTTTTTTATGGGAAAATATGTATCTGTGAGTAAAGATTTTAAGTGATAAAATGAAAGAGTTCAGAAAAATCACTGGATGGGCTTAGGTTTTAATAAGAGCTATTATGGCTATATGTGTTCTTTGTAGAGAATTCCTTTAAGATGCTGACTAATGCCAAATATTTTAGTTGCAAAAAGTATTTAAAAGACCCTGTAGGTTGCTCTTGCTTCTTGCATGTCATAAGTGCTTCAGTTGGGCAAATTTTGAAGTTGAATCTTTAATCTCTCCTAATTATGCTTAGGTGGTTATTTAAGGGGCAGATTGCTTGGGGGATCTGCAAAACTATTACTGTCATAAATACTTTAGTTGTATATGAAATTTTGAAGTTTAAGTACAGTTTTCTGCTTATTCCAATGTCCAGGAAATACTTACCTCATTTTTAGAACCAAGCTAAAATTTCTTATCACTGGGGAGAAAATTAATCATGAAAGTTCCCCCACAAATGAAGCAATTGACTTGATACATGTAATCAAACCAGTGAGAATGAATTATTTCTGCATCTGTCTTCTAAGTCTGTCTTCTGCTGTGCTTACCAATCGGTATACATATATATGGGATTCAGCTATGACAAAGGGGAATGTTACTTAGAGAAGGCCTGAGGTTTCCTCTGCCTACTGGTACAAGGTGTCATTTCCCTAAGG